TCAGGGAGTATTTAGAAATATAAACAGTGTGAGTTTGGCAACTATAGATCGAGTCCATAAACGAAACCATGTCAGAATGAAGCAGCTGTACATAGTTACATGCGACTGGAATAATTTGCTTCGTGAATTTGCTCTTTTTCTTAGAGAATAATGGAGTTTGAAGCAGAAGAGGCACATCGCAAATGCATTTTTGTGGATGAAGCCAGCTTCAACCTCTGTAAAGTGAGGAGACGCGGGAGGAACTTCATTGGGCAGAGGGCCACTGTCACAGTGCCAGGTCAGAGGGGTGCCAATATCACCATGTGTGCTGCCATCTCCAATGATGGGGTCCTTTGCCACATACCAACTATTGGCCCATACAATACAGAACGCCTCATCACATTTCTTGATGCATTGAAAGAAATACTGATTCCACCCGAAGAGAGAGGGCTGTTGAGGCCTGGCATGACTCAGTATGTCTTAATTTGGGACAATGTGGCTTTCCACCACTCTCGCCTTGTGAATGAATGGTTTGCAGCACAGCCTCGTATTATGATGCAATTCCTCCCTGCATACTCGCCTTTTCTGAACCTAATTGAGGAGTTCTTCTCTGCTTGGAGGTGGAAGGTGTATGATCACTGGCCATATGAGCAGATGCCCCTCCTGGAGGCAATGAATGCTGGTTGCCTGGCAATAGGTGCAGAGGACTGCCAGGGATGGATACGCCATGCAAGGAGGTATTTCCCTCGGTGCATTGTAAGGGAAAACATTCAATGCGATGTTGATGAGAACCTGTGGCATAATCGGCAAGAACGAATGGACTAAATGTGAAAGATAAAATATATATTTTTTTTTTTCTTTTTAAAGATATTTCTACCCATAAGTTTCCTTTGGTAGTTTTTTTTTTCAGTATCCATTTGAGTTTGTAAAGTATTATATTGCATATTGATGGCTGTATTTTGTTATCCATCGTGTAATGATTGATTGAAAGAATGCATTAATTTGACCACAAGTTGTGGTGTTTGATGGAAATATTTGCTTATGTTGCATGTTTTTAATGTTTTGTGAGTGTTAGAGCATTTTGCTAACAAAATGAGTCATTTTGGCCATTGAGCTTCAGTTTTATCCTGTGTGTTAACTGTTTTGAAAATGTGATGTCAGAGTGGGCAAATGTGTTTAAGCAATTGAGAAAAACTGTATGTTTCCTGCCTTTGTCAATCAGATGTTTTGTGCATCAGAAAATGTTTAGATTGTGCCAATTTTATATTGATAACACGACTTTACATTTTGGCTGCCATGTCCGTGGACGATGATTCATGGACTTGGGATTTTGATGGCACTGACATGTTCATTGACATAAGTACTTGCTTTTGAGGCATGGACTAAGGATTTTGAAGAGGTTACCTGATTTTGCTTGTCATCCATGATGTTTTGCCATTTGCACTAAATGTTCTGAGAAATGCACTCGCTGTTATGCAAATGTTAAATCCGTTATGAGAAATGCACCAAAGTATCTGAGAAAAACTGTATGCATAAAGCATTGAAATGCATTTTTTTGCTAGACTGCAATTGCAGTGCATGGTATGTCACCATATACCAGTGCAATCAATAAAATATTCTTCTTGAATCAATCTCCCGCAATCAGTGTTTTTTATTTTTATGTTTCCTGCCCTTGTCAATCAGATGTTTTGTGTCAGAAAATGTTTACATTGTGCCAATTTTATATTGATAACATGACTTTATATTTTGGCTGACATGTCCATGGACGATGATTCATGGACTTGGGATTTTGATGGCACTGACATATTCAATGATATAAATACTTGCTTTTGAGACATGGACTAAGGATTTTGAAGAGGATTCCTGCTTTTGCTGGTCATCCATGATATTTTGCCATTTGCACAGTGTTTTGAGAAATGCATTCGCTGTTATGCAAATGTTAAATCCGTTATGAGAAATGCACCAAAGTAACTGAGAAAAACTCTAAATATACATACAGAAAAATAGCTCTATGGAAATCCGCAATAAGATTGTAATAATATTGTAAAATATATTGATGAAACGTGCTGATAATATAGCTGTTACTGTAATTGATCAAACATAGTGAAAATCAAAAGACAATTCCCATAGCAGTGAATTGGTTTGAAAATCGTACTGTCTGACACGAAAAAAAGCGCAATTTGTGTCAGTGGGCACGAATCAAATAGATGAAGTAACGTGAATATTGCACGTAATGCCGTGATACTGCGTTGGTAAATTTGTGCTGTTGAATTTCATAGATCCCATACAGAAGAAATTCAGCCTTTTGCATTGTGAATTACTGTAAACCAAACCATATTATATCAGGAAATCCTGAAACCATGCAATGTCATTCTGACAACATGGCTAAACATTTTGATTCACCGTATATAAACAATGACAAAAGGACTTGTCATTCTGATGGTGATGACATTTTCATTGACACAAAAACTTACTTTTGAGGGAGTACCTAAGGATTTTGAGTA